TGTTGTATGCAATAAGGAAGGTCCGAGCACCTGTCACTGTGGCCCCCCATCGGGGGACAAAAGTTGGGGGCCCAAAATCAGGAGCCCACTCTGGTTTTGCAAGCTGGGGAGGAGAGAGGAGAGCGTGTGGGCTGGCAGTGCCCAGGAGCACATGCCACCCTCCCAAGGAGGACATCTCCCTCTCCAGCTGGAATCTGCCATGATCACCTGCGTCACCAGCTCCTCTTGGTGCAAAGGGACTACACCAGCCCCCAGCATGCTCCCTGAAGCCAGGGAAGTACGGGTCAGATCTGCCCAGCCTGTGCCACCACCAGGCTTACCTTCTCAGGGAGCGCCTCATACTCTCCGGCACGGATGGAGGGCAGGGCTTTCCTGCTCTTGTTCTGTGCCGCTGCTCCATACAGGTAAACTGCAAGACACAGCCGGGGGTGAGCACTGCCAGGGAGGGGCTGGCACTTTCTCCAGCAGTTGGAATCATGTAGGGTGGGATGGAACATGGAGAGGTTCCTGACCGCACTGACCAGGCACACCCAGCTCTGCTGCCAAGCGCTGCCCAAAGATGTGGGCACAGGTGACACACTCCTCCATGCTGACGTTCCTCACTGGTACAAAGGGGCAGACATCCAAGGCCCCCATCCGAGGGTGCTCACCTGGTGGCAGGGCAGATATAGGAACGGGAGGTGGGAAGAACAAGCAGACGAGAAGGGAGAACAACCCTTTCCCACACTCTCACAGACTGGACACATTGCTGTGAGAAAATTGTAGAATCACAGAATTACCCAAGTTGGAAGGCACCCATCAGGATGATGGATTCGAACCCCTGGCCCTGCACAGGGCAGCCCCAACAATACCACCATGTGCCTGAGAACATTGCAAACACTTCTTAAACTCTGTCAGACCTGGGGCTGTCACCACAGTCCCTGTTCCAGTGCCATGATTGGTCTCAGCAGCATGGCAGCCACCTTTGTGCCAGGCCAGCCCCTGAGCCTCTCCCAAGCTCACCTGAGTGTTGGCTCATGTCAATGAGCTGCCCAGCCACACGGGCTGCACTCAGTGCCCCTTCCACCACAGCCTCAGGGGACCCCACAAAGGTGTAGACGGTACGGTTGGTGGAGGAGCCAGCATCCACATCCAGCAGCACACATCCTGGGGTCCGGGAGATGGCCTGTGCCACCGCATCGATCACCTGCCAGACAGCGGGTGGGAGCAAGGGGGCTGAGATGGCTGGGACTGCACAACAGCCATGACTTTTCAAGAGAGGGGACATCTCAGCTCTCCCCCTTCCCACTGATGATAGGGTTGAGGATGACCTCGTAATCAGGGGGATGCAGCCCTGCACAAGCATCCCACTCCCATCCAGGGAGTCTGGGGCACCCCTGGCCATGGTGAGGGAGAGACATATGGTTGCTGCTTCATGTCAGAGTGCCACCACAAATTGCTGTTCCTGAGGATACATCTACTTGCCAGCTTTCCAACACATTTGGTTCTGCCAAGCCTCTTCCCTGGAGGAGGCTGTGTTTTTACAGCCATGCTGGATTTGCTAAACTCTCTCGCCACTGGCAGAGCCAAAGTTTAGTTGGAGGCTGTTGCCCAGGACAGATTCCATTAACCTGGACAGTCTTTTGGCACAGCAACTGCAAGCAATATTTCTCTGCAAAGGTATCCCAGACCAACCCCAGACCTGGTGCTACAGCAACCTGCAGGCAATGGTGGAGGAGGTCTGAGCCCCCACTTCTCATCGAGGTGCCATAAGGGAGCCAAGGCTACCTTTAGGCATTTTTGGTACTAGCCAGGTAGTGAAAGGTGCACGGCACTGCAAAGGAGGCATGGCAGAGTCTAGCAGTGGGTACTGCCCTGCAGGGGGAAACCTGGCTGTCAGCACCTCAGTGTCACCCACCCCTCCCTCAGCCCTTCCAGGTACTCCCTCACCTCTTTGTTATTCCCCTCTGAGAAGTTGGGGACACATTCCACCAGCTTGGCCATGGTCCCAGGGTCCGCTGCACCCCTCAGTCCCCGGCTCGGCTCTTCACACCCTGGGGATTTCCTGCCCTTTCCCGTCCCACTGCGGAGCAAAAGCCTCTCAGCAGCTGACCCGTTGCTTCTTTCCCAAGCCGGAGTTTCTCATTAACTGAATCGATCTGTGGCCAGGGGACAGAAAGGGGCTTGGATAAACACCATGGTACTGGCCCTGCTGTCCTTGGAACAGCTCCAGGCACAAGGGCTCTGTGGGGCCAGATGGCAACACGCACCAGCACCAATTAAGGGATGAAGGAAAAAAATCTGCTGCAATCAGCAAGATGCTGTGGTTACCACACGGGACAGCCAAGTCACTCCTATATGACCACTATTGCTAGTGGCGGGGACAGCTCCTTGCGGGACCTCCACCATGGATACCGGGTAAAATCCGTCGCTGAGAGCAGGATTCGAACGTGCTCAGGGAATCCCTACTGGATTTCGAGTCCAACGCCTTCACCTCTCGGCCATCACAGCCCCGGGCCCCGCGGCAGGGGGGACACCCTGGCCCCGGGCTGGACCGCGCCGCGTTTTGCCGAGAAGCGGGGAAGTGTCCGGGATGTCCCGGGCCAGAGGGTGGGTGCGGGACGTTTTGTGTACATTGGCTCGTTGGTCTAGGGGTATGATTCTCGCTTAGGGTGCGAGAGGTCCCGGGTTCAAATCCCGGACGAGCCCTTCTTTTACTACGCCAACAGCCCGGCACACTGCGAACATGCCCTCACATTCCCATTCTTCACCTCCGCCCCGGCCGCTACTGCAGCCGGCCCACACTGACTTGGCACACCTACACTCGGCCCGTACATGGCCTCTGCGCCTGCAAAATCACCTCCCTCCTCTGCCCCAGAGTTATTCCCCCTCTTCCAACCCACTCACCAGCCCACTCACGCCTCAGGGACCCCCAGTGCTTGTAAAGCCCTGAAACCCCTGTCCCAAACTTGAGCGGCCCGGGAAAGCAGCAGACACAGCGATTTTCCCGGAGAAAGGAGAACGCCAGGGTAAAAGCTGTGTCAGGGGGATGTAGCTCAGCGGGAGAGCGCTTGCTTTGCATGCAAGAGGCCCTGGGATCGACCCCCAGCATCTCCATGTCCTTTTGCCTCTCCAGACTCCTCCCTGCTGGATGCAGGGCAGCCAGACGCCCGCAGATCCCCCCACAAAAAAATCCCTAGGGCTGCCTGTAGGCACGGCTGACCTGGGATTGCCTCCTGGTACCCCAAGGCAGGCAGCAAGGAAATGCCCGTGGAGATTGCCCTCCCTACCCAGGTGCTGTGGAACGTGGAGGCACCCAGTGTCTCTTCCCCACGGGGTTCATGGTGTCTCTTGGGCTGACCACCGCTGCTGGGGGTACCAGCCGGGTGGCAGCGGGGCTCTGGATGCCCAAAAGAGGGCTCGTCCGGGATTTGAACCCGGGACCTCTCGCACCCTAAGCGAGAATCATACCCCTAGACCAACGAGCCAGGGTGCATAGCTTCTGCTCACTGTACTCCCCCCTTACCTCTACCTCCCCAGCACTGCAGGACCCCATGTACAAACAGCAAAGGGCCCCCATGCATGCACAGCAAAGGCACCCCGGGCACAGACAGCAAAGAGCCCCCATGCAAGAATAGCAAAGGGCCCCCAGACACGCACAGCAAAGGCACTCCATGCACGGACAGCCCCTGGCACACAGGCACAGCCACTTGCTGCTACTGAGGACAAACACTGCTCACAGGGGATCGCCTTTGCAGGATGCTCCACGGAGAAAGGTGGCAGAAAAAGCACTGGACATTGCAACTACTGCAAATGGCTGGTGAGGGGCTTTGGGGAAAAAAAGAGGTGCTGGGTGGGAGGTGCTGGACCTGGCATCTCATGGCCACAGCAAGAGGCATCTCCCTGCTCCCAGTGATGCCTTGGGTTTTAGCTTTTATATTTTTCAGATTCTCTCCTGATTAATGTGTAACTCTGAAACTTCCTATTAGGTGTTAGTAAGTTCTCTTCACAGGATATGAGAGGTTGGTTCTCTCACAAATTCTCTCATCAGAATATTGGGGGATGCACAAAACCCCAGCTGCCTCATTGGGCAGCTCCAGGTGATCCCACAAGGGCTCCACATGGGTCCTTCTACATTCTGCTCCCATCCAGTCAGCATATGGTTTCCTCACTGCCTCAGCTGCGGGTTTCCCCTGGCAGTGTCTCTGATGTCTGGGCCCTTAAGGCAATTTAATCACAGCACAGGAGTACAGGAGCAACTCAAGGTGGTGAGCCTGGGAAGGGACCCTAAACCATGGTATCCCCACCCCAGCCTGGGCATCCCAGGACCACCTCCCTGCCCTTGCACAGGGGATGTAGCTCAGTGGGAGAGCACTTCCTTTGCATGCAAGAGGCCCTGGAATCCACCCCCAGCATCTCCATGTCCTTTTGTCTCCCTGGACCCCTCTCTGCTGCAGGCAGGGCTGCCAGAGCTCCCTAGGAAAGGCCTGGCGCTGCCTCCTGGCACCTCAAGCCTATGTAGAAATGCCCAAGGCTCTTTCTCTCCCCTGCCCGGAGACTGCAGGGGACTGGAGCACTTTGTTTTCCTTCCCTACGAGTCTCGGTGTGCCTCTAGGGGTGAACGTCGGAGCTGGGAGGAGCAGCTGAGAAGGAGGGCTGATGGTGCACAAAACCTCTTCTGGGAGCTGGACCAACAAGGCAGGGTGCACTGCTCTCCCAGGGATGTGGGAGAGGGTGATTAGGGGGCATCCACTCACCAAGACAGGAAACTGTTCCATCTCCCCATGCCACTCCCTTCTGTATCTTTTTCCTCTCCCGAGTCTGCAAAACCTGGAGAATCCTGGGTGTGCCACAGCCCCGGGGGCATCACAGTCCCTGCCTAGGGCATTGAGCTGCTCCCGAGGAAGGAGCGGGGCTGCCCTGGCTGCCAATGACCTTCTCATATCAGCTTCTCTCGGGAACCCCAGGGAGAGCACCCCAACATTCCCCGCGTGGGTATCTGAGCGATGGGTAAAATCCGTCGCTGAGAGCAGGATTCGAACGTGCTCAGGGAATCCCTACTTGGGATTCCCTGATTTCGAGTTGGATTTCGAGTCCAACGCCTTCACCTCTCGGCCATCACAGCCCCGGGCCCCGCGGCAGGGGGGACACCCTGGCCCCGGGCTGGACCGCGCCGCGTTTTGCCGAGAAGCGGGGAAGTGTCCGGGATGTCCCGGGCCAGAGGGTGGGTGCGGGACGTTTTGTGTACATTGGCTCGTTGGTCTAGGGGTATGATTCTCGCTTAGGGTGCGAGAGGTCCCGGGTTCAAATCCCGGACGAGCCCTTGTTTTTGGGCACTCGTCTCTGAATCGATTCTGGGTACGCGTGGAGTGACGCTGCCTTGCACAGGGGACACTGGGGGCCCGACACGGCCCCGCCATGGTACTGATTGGTCCCCTCCTGAGCGGAGAAGGGACTGTCGGGCCAGTGGGGGACGGCAGAGCGTGGGGTCTGTGCTGCCATTTCGGCCGCGCGTGGGCCGCACAGCCATGGTGCAGGGAATCTCCTTTAGGAAAGCCTCATGTAAAAGGAGTTTATCATCGCCGCCTCGTGGAGGAAGTGGGAAAAAAAAATCACAAAATAACTGGAGATGCTGGGGATTGAACCCAAGACCTCTTACATGCGAAGCAAGCGCTCTCCCACTGAGCTACATCCCCTACCGTGGGGAGTGGTGGGAGGGCAGATTCTCCTGGCAATGCAGCGGTCGTATTTCTGTGTCAAAAGTGATGTTAGCTGAATGAGAGGTACAGTTTCTCATCACTGGATGCTATTCGCAGGTAGCTAGGGGATGCAAGAGCTGATCATCCCGCACCTGGTCAGCAGAGAGCAGCAGGGGTGCAGTCCCCGAAGGAGGAGTTGTCCTAACAAAGGGTTGTCTCCATAGCCGGGGCTTTATCCAAAGAACGGGTTGCTCCCAAGAAGGAGGGGTTGTACCCAAAGGAGGGTTTATCCAGGAGCTGAACTCAGGATCTCTTGCATCCAAAAGTACAAGACTCTTGTCCCTACACCAGCGATCTGGAGTGCTGCACCCCTTTTGCCTCCCCAGCCCTACAGTTTGGATTTCGGGGTATAGCGGAGGCTGTGCTTTTCCCCAGCACACCCACAGCCTTGAGGAGAAATTTCCAGGCCAGCCATGCCAGGACGCAACCCCAGGGCCTTTTGAGAGTACTCTGGCAGCCCTGCATCCAGCAGGGAGGAGTCTGGAGAGGCAAAAGGTCATGGAGATGCTGGGGGTTGATCCCAGGGCCTCTTGCATGCAAAGCAAGCACTCTTCCGCTGAGCTACATCCCCTGCTCCAACAGCACCTTGCTGCTGACCCTTGAGGCTCCATACTGCTTGCAGGAATTTGCCAAGCCAGGATATGGGACCAGCCCTGTTCCAATCCATGTCATAGCCTCACATATCCCAGTGTGGCTTTGGGACAAGGGACAGGAGCTGTGAGTGCTGAGTAACCAGCAAATTCCCCCATCTACTCGTTTTTCCCAACTCCCATGGGAGTCAGAAGGGTGCCTGTGCTCCTATGGGTGCTATGGGGGCGCAGCTCCAGGGCAGGACATGGGGAATTTTTCAGGACACAGCTCTTGAGGGTTGGGCTGCCTGTAGCTGTGGTGGGGTGGGAAGATGAACTGCTGCAGGAGCCCCACCTGCTGGGGACCTCCCTTCACACAAAGAGAACAGTGCAACAAGATGATTAGCAGACAGTAGCAAGCCTCCAATGCAGATTGTAACACATGGCTGTATCAGAGCAGAGATTCCCCCCATGCAAACCCCTTGAGCAAACCGAGGGGAATTGGGAGGATGGTTCAGCTACACCTTTCATATCACAGAGTGGTGGAGGGGATCAGGCAAGGGAAACACTGCACCCCATGATTTCCAGGTCTTGTAACCCTCCACAGACACCCAGCTCCTTCAACCCCATGTAACCAGTGCTGAAAGGAGCTACCCCACATAGCAGTAACTACATCACCCTTCTCCTCTTTGGGAGGTATGCAGACACCTCTCAGTAAACGTGAATTAACAGCCCTGGAATGTTTAATCAAACAATTTTTGAGTTTTAAACTTAGATTCCTTCCCAGGACCCTACAAACCATTGGGATCTGGGCTCTGCTTTTATTGCGCTCATTCCAGACTCTCCCTGAGGGCTGCCCTCCACAGCAAGAGCTCAGAGCAGAGGAGGGTGTAGGACAGCCAGGAGCAATGTCTGCTGGTGATATGGGCTCAGGGTGACACAGGACTGGTGGAGCCAACAGGGATGTGGGATATAAGTCTTGTGAGCCCTATTCCCACAGGGAGCACCAGGAGGGCCAGACCAGCATGCCAGTGCCTTTTAATTTGCCTGCTTCTTCGCCTGTGACTCACACACGTGGGCAGCCTGTTATTTTCCTATTTTATGGGATCTCCAGCCCTGGGGAAGAAGCGGAGCCCTTGGAAGAGCCACTGCCTGTGTGGCTCCCCAGGTGTGGCAAGGAGGGCACCCTGAGCCCCTCCCCTGTGCTTGATCCATGGGTGTCTGGGGTGGGATATCTTCAGTGGTGCCCTCTCCTCCCTCTTCTCCTGGCTATGCAGCCACTTTCCCCTTTCTCAATCTGGAAGGTTGTTCCAAGCTCCATCCAGCCTGGCCTTGGACACATCCAGGGACTAGCCACATAAGTCCCATCACTCTACCTGCCATGCCTGCAGGCTCCCAGCTCCAGGGCCTCTGTCTCTCACCTGGATGGCTCCAGGTGTGTCCCAAAGTGCTCTGGCCAGCAGTCCTTGTCCCAGTGAGGAGGATGAGAGATGCTGCCTGTTGATGCAGCTCACTCTCCCAGCATTGTCCTCAGCCAAGTGCCCCAGTGCCAGTCTGGGATACACCTTTTGCAACATAGTAAAGGCACAGGTGGTGGACCTGTCTCTTCATCCTCTCCCACTGTTGTGACACACCACAACTTTTGTCTTCTCGCCTGGATGTGCAGAGAAGCTGCAGATTGAGGTGCTGTGTTGACCCACCAATGATCCAGCCACCACCAATCCTTCCAGCCCTATCACCAGCACCATGCTGCCTGGGGCTTCCAGAGTATCATAGAATATCCTGAATTGGAAGGCACCCATAAGGATCATCAAAGTCCAACTCCTCGCTCTGAACAAGACACCCCAACAATCCCACCCTGTGCCTGAGAGTGTTGTCCAAGCGCTCCTGGAGCTCTGACAGCCTCGGGGCTGTGCCCATTCCCTGGGGAGCCTGGGCAGTGCCCTAGCACCCTCTGGGGGAAAAACCTTTTCCTAATCCAGCCTAACTCTTCCCAGACAAAGTCTCTGTGATAAATGTGATTCGTGCTAATTAAATTGTAACTATATTAACAAAATTGTATTTAGATCAATAGAAAACAATTGTTACAGAGTGAGGGGGGAGATGGGTGAGACAGGGCAAAGGACATCTTCCAGATGTTGGGAGTCGAAGAAGGAGGTTGGAAGAAAGTCAAACAAGAATAGTAGAAGGACGTAGGTCTGATAAGCAGCATCTAGAAATAGAGCTTCAACCTGGAAATGGGCCAAAATGAGACGACTCCGGGCATGGGATTTAATTAGAGTCTTGTTATGGAAAACATCTGCTCAGTTACATAGTGAGCATGTGCTACCTGCAGGTCACACCTCGGTCATTGAGGAAGACGATGAGCCTTCATCGGAAATAAGACCCTCAAAAGGATGAGAGACCCCCTAACCCATTAGTAGAGCATGCGCCGTACAACATAGTGACGTAGATTTTAGGAATAGAAACTAGGAGGAGTTTTCTAGAAACTTCTGTAGCCTACAGTATATAAGTGGGATTGGTAGCCTTGATGCTTTGGTACGAGAAGGGGGGGCGAGCCACTCCCTGTATCCCCAGTCGGAGGGGGGCCCCTCCCCAGTCGTTTATGCTTTATACGAGGTTTTGTTTATGCTTTATACGAACCTCAATTATACTAAATTACTTACTGCCAAATTTTGTATATTCTTAAATATATGCACTTTGATTGTATTCATCTCCAATACTTTGTCATCTCCAATATTTTGATTGTATTCATTTTGTTACTATTAAAAATTTACTATTAAATTTAATCTTGTTGCTTGATAAATTAGAAAATAGAATATCATTCATAACAGTCTCCATTATGAATGGTCCCTGCTCACTTGCTGTTCACAGCAATCTCCCCTTTTCCACCACAGCTCTCTGTGCTTGTTCTTCCTCAAATCATGACTTCCCCTCTCCTTCCCACCTCATCCACCCCTAGGGTGGGAAGGCACCCATGCTTCAGGAGCCTGAGGATATTGAGTGATCACAGAAGAAGGTTTCCGCCAAGGTCATGAAGCAGCTGAGAGAAGATGGAAGTGGGCAGGAGACCTCAACAGGCATGGGCCAGAGGGTGGCACCTGGGCCATACTCCAGACTCTTCTCAAAAATACTCCTGCTGCTTTTGAATGCTATAGGTAGGCAATGCTGGGACCAAATCCCAGGACCCAGCTATTTCCTTCCCTGTGCTTCCAGCTGCTGAGCATTATTTTTCATCCCCGTTTTGTTATGAGTAGTTTCTCACTGGAGCCTTTGGCTGAGTTGCCTCTACAGAAACCTGTATTTAGGGCCTGATCAGCAGGTCTGGGGGGTCCTACCTGGGGGAAGGGCTGGCTTGGGGGAGAAATGTGGTGAATTCAGGACTGCTCTTGAGCTGGGAGCCAAGGAGGCACGGATCCCAGCTGGAGTCAAGGCTCCCATGGGAGACAGAGTCCCCAGACCCTCGGGATAGGGAGCCCTGGAAGGCACCAAGGTCTTCATTTCCCTGTCCACACTAAGACACCACAATTTTCAAGTCAAATCAAGGAGCTGTGTAGATTTTTGGTGACACTGGATTTTCGGAAAAAACAAAATATGTATAACCTCACCAGTGGAGTCATTCAGTGCAAAGCTACATAAAAAATGTCATTATTCTGTCCACTTGCTCCCTCCTGGACTGTTCTGTGCAGCAGGCTTGAGGAAGGCAGCTGCACAAGGCCCAGAGACCTAGAGCTTCCCAACAAAACTTTTTCTGGAATTCCAAAGCTTTTTGTAATTTTTTATTCAAAATTTTGCATCCTATCTCTACAGATAATTTCCAGAGCTGGGATAAAAATATCTGAGCAGTCCTTGGAAGAAGGACACCTCCCTTCTCCTGGTGCCCTGGCCACTGAACAGTCACCATGTAAATTTTCTCAAAATTAGGAGCACCTCTGTGAAGGTCTTCTGGGCAATAAAACCAGTTGAGCTTGGTCAAAGGCTTTTAATGACCAATAGGCTTTCAAGCTCAGCATAATCTCTCATTACAAATGCTCACAAGCTTTATTCAAATACTCCTATTCCTCCTTCCATCAGTTGAAAAGGTTCTGCCTGATGATCCATGGCATCTTAAAAAGAGGTTTTACTCAATTCATGACATCTTCAGAGACTCCAGTGTCCTGTCCCCTATCCATAAAGCAACTATTGTCTGTTCTTTTTTCACTCTTCGCTGTCACCCATTAAACATTGGGCGACCTTGGCATAGGAAGCCCATCCAAAGGCGCCCATCTCCCAAGAATCCCACTTCTACCTTTTTTTCCTGATTCCATATCCACCCTCCTTAGCTCAGCCCCCCCCCCTCCCCCCCAAATCGCTGCAAAATGTAGGGTA